AGGAACACATACCAAAAATAAATAAATAAAACATGTATGTGGAAACCTTAATGTTCATGTCGTTTGAAAATTCTTTTTTAACAAATAATTGTACATATTTCTGTATGTTTAAATAATTATGGCTGGAAATGCTAGGAAAGTTTCACATGCTGTTTTTTAAGGAATAATGATAGATAATCCAAAGCACAATCAAAATTACAAGTTCTACAATTCTTCTAGCTGCACACAATGTGAATGTTTTTTTTTTATCATACATATGTACATTTCACCTCAGTAGAAAAGTCCTCTACATTTCCATTCAGTGTTTTAATTTCGCAGTTGAATGGAATTTATCCTGCAAGAGTTTTTTTAGCTGCATTTTGTTCACACTGAAGAGCTTTGGTGACCAAGTTCATCGGCACATCAAGATGCTCAAAGTTTTCCCCTTGTTCATTCATAAGGGAAAATCCCAATTCATCCTTGTCATATGCAATGAGACTGCCAGTCAGGATGGATGGTGGATCTTCACATTTCTAAAAAAAAAAGGTTTAAAATTTAACAGAGATATTGTCAAATCTTTATTTTAATACGTAATATGGCGAGTACCTCGCAGTTATCTAACTTACTACCACTATTATGTGGGTGAATCGAGAAAGCTCTAAATCTCGCGAGATTTCTTGGGCACATGACATTGTTCACAGTAATGACAATCGAATGATTCGAACAATTTTATGCCGAAAGTACAAAGTATTGCCGAGAATTCAAATTCACTAAGTAGATTTTCAAATAAGGAAAGTTTAGAATATTTTATCAATTTTAAGTTGTGTTGATTTTCAATGAAAATTTTATGAGAAGAGCCTGTTTTGTTAAAAATATCATAAAAATTGGAACATTTAAAAATTAACTCCTTTAAAAAATTAATTAGGCTGGTTCAGGAAGGTTTAACAAGGTATTCCACCATAATGTTTTACTTAACTGTCCTTATTCTACAATGATCGATCTTGCATTGTATTCATTAGCACATTTACCTCAAACCAACAGACGTTTCCTACCTCCATCGCAAAAGAATTTCGCTAAGTTATATCAAGTATTATTATACCCCCCGCTTGAAAAGTGGGAGGGTATATAGTTATCGGTATTTCCGTCCGTCTGTTACGCTTTATCTCTTATCCGTAACTCCTATTATACTACTGAGTGAAATTTAATGACATTTTCACAGAATCTTTATTACATATTGCAATTGTGCACCTATTATTTTACTTTTTTTATTTGACACGTATTTTAGGTTTCCCATAACAAAACATGAACATTGCCATTATATGTTTACCTATGACGTCACATATAGAAGCTTCTGGATAACGTTTGATAGGGCGAGTTATTCCTCTTTACATGTTACCGTAAAACAATATATAGCAACACATGAACATTATGGGAGGCGGGGGTATCATTTAGTGAGCTCATTGCTCACAGTACCTCTAGTTATAATGGTTATGGTGCTGAATTTTAATTGCTCACATGGGAAATGAAATTCCATTTCTTATTATTACCTTTGATATTGTCAACAAGATAGTAATACCCACCCTAAGGTGTTTGCCTCTAAAAACACACTCCTTTATATAGCGCTTTCCAAAGAAAACGTTAAAATATAATTCTGTAATTACCACAGTACATGTATTCGTCAAATTGAGCATAAAACTTTCAGGTCACCATGTGATCTATGAGCCTCTTAATTATATTTCTTATACTTAATTGACAGTCTGAAATAAAAGAATTTAATGAATGATGTAGATTAGATTCTGATAAATATTTTACCCATAATTAGAACTTTTAAAATTTACTTTCTCAACAACATAAAATATTATTTTAGTAAAAAGCATTTTTGATGAATTTATCAAAATGTGAAAACTGTTTTTTAGTATTTAGCCAGGCACAAAAAAAAACCAAAAAAAAAACATTTAAAATACAACCCAATCAATTTGTCAAGCCCCCCTCCCCCTCTAAGATCTTCACCACACACACACACGTTTTCTATCAGGCCTAGATGGTAAAGTTATGTTAAAACATCGTTTATTATCAATGATAGTTTGAAATTTGTTCTTGCACTAGACATGTTTACGTGTGAACTCCTTTTTGAAAATTTCTACATAACATTGGGTTTGCATCACCCATTACCATATTTTTAGATATCACCACTCGGCACACCTCGGCCGATTCGCACTTCATCTAATATGAAGGCGACGGAATCAGCAAGGGTTTGCGGAATGAGCACATGCTGATGGTTTATCAGTTAAAACCATTTTGTGTTTTAATTGGATTATATTTCATGAAGTTGACAGGACCTATGACAGTCGGTAAGTACAAACTTTAGTATAGATTGCGTTAAAATAAACCGAAATGCAAATGATTAGGTTGAAGTTCAAAAAGGGTCAAAGATCATCGCGTGGCATAATAGACGAATTTCACATTGAGAAGTTATCTCCCGTTGTCAACGTGGCATTCAGTATATACAGGCGCAGATCCAGATTTCTTTTCAGGAGGGGGGAGGGGGTGGGGGTCACACCTCAGTCAAAAAAATTCCAGCCCAGAATTCCCTGAGAAGCAAATAAAAAACAAGAGACCCATGGGCCATATCGCTAACCTGAGCACTGTGGCTGGGAAAAAGTAGAAATTGGATTATTATTGAATAGTTTATATCCAAAAGTAGTCCAATGACCAATCATGGCTTTGCTATTCTTGATAAGATGATTTGAACAAATTTGAATTTTCGAGAATTCAATACCTGAGGATGCTTCCATATGAATATGATCAATTATGGCTTTGTTATTCTTCAGAAGAAGATTTTTAAAGAATTTTCCTATATATTTTTATGTAAAACTTTGGGCGGCCATTTTGGCCCCGCCCTACCCCCGGGGGTCATGATTTGGACAAACTTGAATCTACACTACCTGAGGATGCTTCCATATAAATATGATCAATTATGGCTTTGTTATTCTTGAGAAGAAGATTTTTTAAAAGAATTTTCCTATATATTTTTATGTAAAACTTTGGGTGGCCATTTTGGCCCCGCCCTACCCCCGGGGGTCATGATTTGAACAAATTTGAATCTACACTACCTGAGGACGCTTCCTTATAAATATGATCAATTATGGCTTTGATATTCTTGAGAAGAAGATTTTTAAAGAATTTTTCTATATATTCTATGTAAAACTTTGGTTGGCCATTGTGGCCCCGCCCTACCCACAGGGATAATGATTTGAACAAACTTTAATTTACACTACCTGAGGATGATTCCATATAAATATGATCAATTATGGCTTTGTTATCCTTGAGAAGAAGATTTTTAAAGAATTTTCCTTTATATTTCTAAGTAAAACTTTGGTCGGCCATTGTGGCCCCGCTCTACCCCAGGGGGTAATGATTTGAACAAACTTAAATCTACACTGTCTGAGGATGCTTCCATATAAATATGATCAATAATGGCTTTGTTAGTCTTGAGAAGTAGATTTTAAAAGAATTTTTATTATATTTTTATATGTAAAACTTTGGTTGGCCATTGTGGTCCCGCCCTACCCCCGGGGGTTATCATTTGAACGAACTTGAATCTACACTACCTGGTGATGTTTCCCCATAAGTTTCATTTTTCCTGGCACAGTGGTTCTTGAGAAAAAGATTTTTTAATGATACCACCAAATTTTCAATAATTCCCCTTTATCTCCCCTTAAATTAGGACGTGGCACTTCATTTGAACAAACTTGAATCCCCTTCACCCAAGGATGCTTTGTGGCAAGTTTGGTTGAAATTGGTCTAGCGGTTCTTGAGAAGAAGTCGAAAATGTGAAAAGTTTACAACGACAACGACGACAACGACAGACAACGGACAAATTGTGATCAGAAAAGCCAACTTGAGCCTTTGGTGTATAGTCTTTTTATTGATTACTGTTTGATATCTTTATCTTATACATTTTAAACTAACGGCAATAACTTTCGTGAAAATGGGACTAAAAAAACATTATCTATAAGGTATCAATGTAAATAGAAAATATCTAAAATGATAGGAATCTCTAAGAACACTAAAAATGTCCTTAATATGAAATTTTTAATTATCAAAAAAATTGGCCTACGAAATAAATTTGAAGGAATTGTTTTTTGTAAAATGTGTCAATAAACATTGATATTATCTAAATAAAAGTATGCTACAGATCAAATTATGTACTATCAAAAGCACAGAAAAGTTTATAAGATAAGATATGACGGAATGATGAACAGAATAGTATAAAATGACATTTTATTGCAATTTCATCTTTGTAATGCGCAGTATAAAATAAAAACATCTAGATGAAGATGCTAACATACTATACTACTGTTGATCTAGCGAGATTCTTTTGTTAATCCCACAATATTTTTAAAAAGGCTATTTCGAAGAGATGCACTTGTATGTAAATGATTTTCCTGATCATGAGTTGACTCTTATTTTATTCTAAAATTTGTATATTATCTCTTTTTTCACGAAAACATTGAGATCAAGAACAGTATACATCAATTGTTGATCGATGGAAAATTTATTAAAAGTGCAATATGTATATCCATTACGAATCAAAACATCTGGATTCCAACTGCAAAAATCTAAATAAGTTAGAAATATTCCCCTAATAAATTTAATGGCTGTACAAGTAATATAAAAATAATCAGATACAAACAGGAAAAACATTTGAAAGCTTCACATTTTCTTTGTTACAGGAACTGTTCATGCAATACTACATATCAATGAAATAATTATGAATTGTTGTTTTATTAAAGGAATATTTTACACAAGCTTGTCATACACTTCGAAAATGTTTCACAGCAAATACCGTATAAGCAGAATTTTTAGCGAGGATTTAATTTTGGTATTATAAGCGAGGGTGCTGAGATCGCAAAAATTGAATATCGCTAAAAATTAATTTCGTTTTTGTGCAATGGCCTCTATAGTGAGCTTTTTATTATTGCTAAAATTACTTCTTCAGGGTATCAATATCATTTTTATTATTTAATATTTTTTTCACATTCTGACTGGATTGATATTCCCATTTTCCTCTTAAATTCAACCCATTGCTCATCACCAATTTCAAGAATTGGCTTTATCTCCGACGCTTGGTGTGTGCATTCTACGAATGGTGTCAAAATCTTTTTCTTCCTGCGCTTTATCCAGCCTTCCAGATCTTCCCTCGATGAAAACTTAAGTAATTCTGAGAAAAACAACTTTCCAAAAGTTATAAGAGTCATTCGTTTTATAATTTCGTGTTGTATCACAAAGACTGATGGTTCTTCTTCCACAACAAATTCCATCGGTATGATTGATGTAAGATCCACATTGTCAGTATCAAGACCACATGATCTGAACATTTCCCAAAGCTTGTTGTTCGATTTGTTCACGTCTATTTTCATATCATTTAAACTCATATACACTAGTAATAAAAATTTATCTTTTACATTTGAAGTTTGACACAATTTTTCAAGATAGGAACTTAAATAACGCAGTGGTCGACTAAAAAATATTTTCCCTGTTTTCTGAAAATCCGAACATTTAGAAAACAGTGTGCAGATTTCCGGGAATCCAACATAAATGATATCTAATTCTGAAACAAAGCTTTCTACCATAGAGAATGGTTTATCCGGATTGTAAAACTGAAAAATTGTGTGAAAGATTTGAATCCTATCTCCTTTCGATAAGTTCTTCCAATCAAGATCAATACATCGAAAGCCATTTTCATGAAAGTCACATTTTTTTATTTCATGTGCAATAGTTCCCCAAAACTCCTTCGTTGAAGTAATAATCAAGAATGTTTGATTTGTTTTCTGCATATGTTTGCACAATGCAATAATTTTTTCTATACGATTACTTTTTTCTATGTCAGAAATGTCCTCTCTTGGCAATGGTTCCTCCACGATAACAGATTCCTGGCAACTACTCACATCAAACATCAGTATGTCCTCTATTAAAATCGGTTTCACTCCTGTACAGGACATATACACTTCTTTAGCTGTTGTCGATTTCCCCGAACCCCGTTTTCCTGTCAAACACAGAATTTTCCCACCATCTTTGAGAAAACGAACTGCCTCATGGAAAGTAGAAGTTTTGTAGAATGGTTTCTCTAAACAATAAAAAAATAAAAATAAAATTTTATAGATGTGTTTGAAAATAGTAGGATTATAATGTTCTTTGGAATGCATATTAAGTTAATACTGAATATTATACCTCTGGCTAATAAAGGAATCTGTTCATCTATTCCCTTGATTCCACTTGGGATTTTCTCTGAAATATTGAAACAAAATATTTTTTAGAACGATAAAGTTCTGTTCTTTGTTTTTAGATTAACTCTTGAAATAAATTATTTCTTGTACGAGAGTCATAACTGTGTAATTTATAACAAAAACCCATTATAATGATGTTAATGTTGTTTTTAAGAAAGAAAATATAAGCTTTTTTATTGTTTATCTATCAGTTTAAAGAGAAAAAAATATATACTTTTTTGCATTCCTCATCAATCAATATTAGAATATTGACTTACTATGCATCTGTTAAATAAGATTCCTTTATACCCCGAAATATTGTTATAAATAATATAAGTACAATGACAAGTTTTGCTCACGTGATCTTCTCTTTCTGTAACACAGAAGAGCTATCACACAGAAGACAACAAGAATAAATACTCCAACAGCCACGCCAATAATAGGCCACGGTAGAGATGAGGTACTACCACCAGATGAATGTCCCTCATTGTTCATGGATGTACTTTAAAAAATATATCTGTGTATTTATGAATATTAATGAATTTATGTGATCTAAATGCGTACAAAATTTCGTATTTTTATTGATCACTATTGTGTGTGAATTCATGGGTCCAGAAGGGATTTTCCGGGTTTCAGTATTTAAGAGCACATAAATACGTTTTTATATTCATTATCGTGATCTGTAAATTCAATATCTCAACAATTTTACTTCCTCAGTGATAAAAAGAGTATACCTTAAATATAAATAACTTAAACATTTACAAACTACATGTATATCTATATTTACAAAATCACAATTCAGATCGGAATGAAATTTGGCACATATAGTCATACACATATTCTATAAGTAGCATATGTAATGTACTGTTTTGATCCGTGTTTGTGACGTCACAATGAAAAAATGACGTCAATATGTTGATCACTTGTGACAAAAAATGATTGACTCAGACGTACTCGAATAACGAACGGCTGTAAAGTTAAAGCCATATATGGCGTATTTACAATGAAAATTATTAGACTAAAATTATAAGAACTTATTATTTGTTTCATTACTTTATATAAAGATAGAACTTTCCCGTAAATTACAAAATCTAAGTCAATTGCGTTATAAAGATATCACAATTTAATTTGCATTCTTGGAATTTTCTCCGACTCGGAAGAAAATACAAAAGATTTAAATAACACATTACAGAGAAGATAAAATCGTATTATTAGTTGAAACGAAGTGTTCTCCGTGTTCAGAATTGTATGAAAAATTTTAGTTTAAATGTATTAGCTATATATCTTTACTAAATTTTGTATTTTTCCAAAATATATTTTTTGATCAGTTACGCCGTATATGGCTTTAAACGTATAGCTTGCAAAATCCTTTTCTGTAGTGTATAATAATTTGTACACAGTTTATGACGGCAGGAGACTTGCCAGAAGTTTAGTCATTAATTGGATTGATTGTTTTAGTGAAGGAAGGGAGAAGTTTAAAAATGATGTTTGTTCTATTGCCCAGTGAAAGCAATTTGATATGAAAGATCGCCAACTTACAGTTAGAAAACTTTGTATCAGATATGAAAAAAAGGAGGCACCCATACTTTATCCACATTGAATAAATGACGCTCACAAGATAGAGGACTCGGATTATGATGGTCACCATGCTCATTCTGGAAAAGGATATCATTATCTTCAATAGTATTGCCGAGATTTGGCTATTTCTGAGAAATGGACTGTTTTTGTCATAAAAAATAACTTGCATGGTAAGAATTATATGAGTCGGAAAAATCTTTTAGCATCTGAGAAAGAACGCTACGGAGCATGTCACGTAACCGCCTAGATCACGTGATTTGCGCATAGGCAGAACGGTGCATGCATGCAGATACACATTTAAATCGGAGAGGACTACACTGAAACACTATATGATTTCTTTTATGGAAGTTATTCAATTAGTTCGCGAACTTTTTGATTACCCCTTGTAAGAGAGGGGAGTAAATTTTTTTTTCTTTACAATAATTTTCAATTCTTATGATGAATAAATGTCTGTATTTTGTTTGTACAGTGTCAATTAATCCAAAATCCCAATTTTTTTTTTATCTTGCACATTTTGTTTCGCTCATATCAAACTCTTATATCTATTAATACCAATACTGGTTACAGGCCTTGCTGAATGTTTTTAAAGCAGTTAGCTTACTTTATTTCAAATAACTACGAGGGTCGTTCAATAATTAATGCCTTATGTTATCTAAAAGTAAAGCTGCGTTGTCAGGCACAAGAAAAATTCCCTGGTCACCGAATTTTGGACTTCCTTTGCAGAAAATCTGTTCAATTTTCCTTTGTGCAATTTGAAGACAAAACTTACTATTGCTAGTTCTTCATTTGGATGTAGGTACATGTTTTAACTGACCTCGTCAAATACACAAAAGCTAATAAAACATGTTTGGAACTTTGCTTCTCTTCATCATAATTAAATAACGCCCTTTTCTTTGATTCCATATATTCTATCATTAATCTTATTTTACAGCTATAAAAAGTGCATCCATGTTTCGACATACATTAAACAAGTTTATCAAATCTTCTATCTTGTTTAAACATTGTTTTTAAATAAACCGTTGGACATTTAAAGAATGTTCTCTCAGGGGCGTAGCCTGGCCCCCACCCCCCCCCCCCACTTTTTTCCCAACCTTATGTATACCATAGGAAATGTTAAGCGAAAGCCAGGTTGCCCCCCCCCCCACTTTTAGTGATGTAGTGATAATGTAGTATTTTTTTTCCTTTGTCAGAATTCTACAAAATGCTGTAAAGATTAAATGTTTATTATCTTTAGAATGTCTTTCCATGTAAATATAGTATTTTCAAATTTCTTGTAGCACACAAAGTCGATTTATTTTTGTGTCCCAACAAATTTCAATTACCACATTAATTGTTATATTTGAACTCTTTTTTCTGAATTATTGAATCTATCTGAAAAGTATACAGCGTTAAATTTTTTCTACATATAAAAATCATATCTTAGAAATCAGGTTTGCGGCGATTTATGTAAAAAGCGCAATATTCAAATACGCTCTTATTTAAATCTTCTTGAGAGAGATAATTTATAAACAGTTTTCAGCACAGTATAGTGACCATGCTCTCTTTAAAAACGAATTTCTTTGCGAAGACAATATGAAAATTCGTGGGATTTTCTTTGTTTAGGAGATCTTTAATAGAACTTTTCAAATATGAAAAAATAAAATCAATGCATAAACATCTATTATGATATACGGTGTATTGCATTACTTACTGAACGACCCTCGTAAAAGCCTTACGCAACTGAATTAATGCTTAAAATATCATAGAAAACAATATGTATTGGTTTCATCTCATGAGGCTGGTAATTATTGTCTTTGCTTGTAGGTCTCATTATTCAGATAAATTAGTTCAACTAAAATTATCTTCACATCTGAAAGTCCCACACATACTCAAAATTCACTTTCTATGGATAAATGTCTTTTCAATCGAATTTCAGTGTTTTAAAATACTTTGAACATTCCAGTAAACCAAGATGATTTCGATATACCAGTCTTACATATATTCAATTTCTAAACTTCATAAAAATTCTTACAAACAAATATTATACCAAGCCCCTTTCAATATCCCTTACCAAAATATTAACTGCTGTTTACAAGAATTTTCAAAGACACTGTGTTGATTTGAATCAGATGTGAACCCTGAAAGCATTAACAATCTTATATCATCAAATTTCTTTAAGAACTTAAAACATCGAAATGGCAATTTTGCTAAACTCAATGCCAGCGTTTCCAGTAAATTGAAAGCTTGGTTGTTACAATCATAGATACCCTCATGTTCTACATTTTTCTTCAGAAAAAAGAAACCCGCAGAAGAAATATCTATTACTTGTTATTGGGCATCATTGGTCTATGGTCATTATTTAAACCTTATATGCAAATAATATCTATTAACATTTTGTATCATATTATACCTGCCAGATTGTTAGGCTCTTTATTTTTACATAATATGACAACACAATTTTCTGTCTATCAGATCAATACAAAGGACTCATGGTGGGTGTGTCCTGTCTACAGGGGATTCCTAATCCTTCTTGGCACCTGATTCCACCTCTAGAATTTATGAACGTTTGTTTCTTGGCCAGCGTAATTTTCTATTGATTGTATAATTATGATAGTGGCTGATTGTTCATTATATTCGTCTTGTTAATTTCTTCTTAATAGGTTATTTCAAGATATATAGATCTAAGTGTGTTATTTTACAGTAAACCTTCAATAATTTTTACTACGTGATACTAAGAGCAGTGAACAATCTATTTATTGGTGCACGTCAGGACTTGGACCATTATATTTATTTGCGGCTTACTAAATGAGCACGAAATCACAACAATGAACAAGAGGCCCATGGGCCACATCGCTCACCTGAGCACTAAGGCTAGGAAAAAATAGAAAATGGTTTTTATTGTTTAAATCCAAAAAAGTACCAATCATGGATTTGCTATTTTTTAGAGAATGATTTTTAAAAAAAATTTCCTAAATATTTCTATGTAAAACTTTGGTCGGCCATTTTGGCCCCGCTCTACCCCGGGGAGGGGGGGGGGGGGGTCGGTCATGATTTGAACAAACTTGAATTTACACTACCTGAGCATGCTTTCATTTAAATATGATGAATTATGGCTTTGTTATTCTTGAGAAGAAGATTTTTAAAGAATTTTCCTATATATTTCTATGTAAAACTTTGGGTGGCCATTTTGGCCCCGCCCACCCCTGGGCGTCATGATTTGAACAAACTTGAATTTTCACTACCTGAGCATCCTTCCATAGATATATATGATGAATTATGGCTTTATCATTCTTGAGAAGAAGATTTTTAAAGAATTTTCCTATATATTTCTATGTAAAACTTTGGGTGGCCATTGTGGCCCCGCCCTATCCCCGGGGGTCATGATTTGAACAAAATTGAATTTACACTACCTGAGCATGCTTCCATATAAATATGATGAATTATGGCTTTGTCATTCCTGAGAAGAAGATTTTTAAAGAACTTTCCTATATATTTCTATGTAAAACTTTGAGTGGCCATTTTGGCCCCGCCCTACCCCAGGGGGTCATGATTTGAACAAACTTGAATCTACACTACCTGAGGATGTTTCTCCATCAGATTCATCTTTCCTGGCACAGTGGTTCTTGAGAAGATTTTTAAAATATGCCACCAAATTTTCAGTTATTCTCAATTATCTCCCCTTGAATGAGGGCGTGGCCCTTCATTTGAACAAACTTGAATCCCCTTTACCCAAGGATGCTTTGGGGCAAGTCTGGTTGAAATTGGCCCAATGGTTCTTGAGAAGAAGTCGAAAATGTGAAAAGTTTACAGACAGACAGACGGACGCCGGACAAAATGGGATCAGAAAAGCTCACTTGAGCTTTCGGCTCAGGTGAGCTAAAAACGTTTCAGGTTGATACAATGAAACAACATTTTTTCATGAAAGGTCTGAAGAATAC